TTTCCTTTAGATTTAAACAGTAGTGTCTGATAGCGTCTGCTATGAGGCCCAGGGGTCAAAGGTCAAAGAGAAAAGCAGGATCCTGGCACAGAGGCAGAAAGGCAGCGTCCTCCATCAGAACAGGAAACCAGGAGGTTAAAACAGAGTTAATATTTATTTTTTAAGTGAACGGTTTGAGCCCCCAGAGACAGTGAATCACCAGCTTAAGACCATCCAGACCATCCTAACCCTAACCCGTACCTCTACCCCCCACAGCTCCTATCCTAACCCTAACCCGTACCTCTACCCCCCCACAGCTCCTTCTGTAGTCCCTCTACCTCTATCTCTATCTCACCACTGACTCTGATCAGTGTTTCTGTTCTATATAGTTTATTGTCATTGTGATGATAAATGTAATATTGTGTCTACTCTGTAAGTCGCTTTGGATAAAAGCGTCTGCCAAATGCAGAAACATAAACATAAACATAAAATCTGATTGTAGCTGTGAGGGATTCTGACTCACTCCCAGAGTCTTGGGCTCCATCTTGAGGTGGGACTGCAGCTGGCCTGCAGAGAGGCTCCCCGTGGGGGCCACCGGGTCTTTGTCATTCTGCTCCATCCTGAAGAACCACAGAAGAACCAGAGGGGTAAACAGACAACAGAACCAGACTCAGAGTCAATTATCCTCCACATTTAAAACAGACTCAGGATAAACCAGTGATGCAGATATCTATCAGAAGGATGACTGATTGTGTTCAGTCCCTGTTATTTTGTTTAGGAATAAACAAAACCTAACTCCTAACTGGTGGAAAACAGTGTGTAAATAAAAACACATGGTGAATACATGGTGAAATAATTAATATCTAATTTCAATTTTTGTAGACAGCAGCCTTTAGCTGTTTAAAGTTAAAAAACGAGGATTCAAAGCCCTGCTGGGGCTAGAGTCGTTTCCCAGCTGGTAGAAGGTGGGTCCACCTGGACAAAATATAAAAGCTCCAAAAAAACGCTCTAAAGCCTAAAAACGGCTTTAAATCCCCTCAAAAACAGCTTTAAAAGCTCCAAAAACAGCTTTCAGATGGAGGAACCACCTACCAGGCCTATCTCCTAA